GCCCACCAGGGGGCGGGGCTGGCTGGCATGTGGTGCTGGGGGATTGAACCGTGGTCCCTCTGCTTTACCAAGCTTGTTCTAAGTAGGTGCTTTAGACCACTGAGCCATCTCACCAGCCCCTCCCACAATGTTTTTATAGCTAGCACTGCTGTACATTATAGCAGTATTCTTTAGGGGTACTCCCTGGATCTATGTCTATTTACTCTGCTGAAAAAGATTGAAGAAATACACATCCTACCTACCTAAATGAGATCGGGTCATAACTGTGAGGATGCTTGTTAACTGTACCGTGCTGTTCAGACTCGGATGCAGCAGACATGTGATTGTACCAGGGATGAGGAAAGCCTGCTATGGGCTCCAGGGGAAAGTTTTTATGGACTGACAATTACTGGAACTTTGAAAAAAAAGAAGGTGCAAATAGCAGTTATTAGTCTTCTTAGAGTATAGCCCAATCTGTGCAAAACTAGTGTTGTGTTGTTGTTACACTGTCACCGAAATTTATTAAACGCCGCACATGCATGATCTGTTTGAGCTGCACACCAGTCTTGCAAGGAGGAAATAATTATAAGCCTGATTCTACCGCGAGTAAAACAGCTGGCATCGGAGTAATAGGACACAGCCACACACACACATCCGGAGGCCTCGTTCGAAGGCCAACCTAAATCCAAATATTGTCTTTCACCGCTCAGCTCTCTACCGCAAATGCCGGGGAGACAGCAGAAAACCCCAGCCGCACACCCCGCTCCCTTTTGTACCACTTTTCCTGGCTGCCCGCCCCCAGATCCCTTTTCGGGATGGTACAGCCCTTTCCTCCTATCGCGAGACTGGGAGTGCGTGCTTCTGGTTGCCAGGGGAACAGCGTTCCTGCCTCTACGGATGGCGCTCGTCTTTCACCTGTGAAGAAGCTGAGGCCGTGGGAAAGGCCCCTCGCTTTAGGGGTGAAAGGGTTACGCTCAGTGTCAGCGGTCGACTTTTGTGCCTTTGGTGATCTGCGCTTGGTCACTAGCTCCAAATCCGGGGGGGAAGGTGAGAGACTGCGCGGGGCCCGAGGACAGCCGTCGAGTGGGTGGAGTCGTGCCTGGCTGCGTGGCGGCGGGCAGGGCCAATAAGAGGGCGTAGCGGGCTGAGGGGGCGGGATCAGGTCCAGAGGCCAGTGCCCGACTGTACACCTTCCCAGGAGTAGGGCTCCACCTTGCCGCGCCTCCTAGCCGGAGGTCTGTGAAAGATGGCCAGTGAAGGTTTGACTACACTCAGCTTTTCTCCTAATTAAAGAAATGTCAGCCAAACTCACAGCAGAAGCTTTTGGATGTCCATTAGGTTGGCAGAGTTGAAAAGCCTTTGCTGGGAACCGGATTAGCGCCAAACCAAAGAGGGCACGCAGGTACTGTAATGTCAACGCCCCTCCCCCCCCCGTTGTAATGTAATTTGGTGTCATCGTTTTTTGGAGCACAGTCTGGCAGACTGCCCAACTAGAAACACAGGTGTTCTTCGATAAAGCAATTGTGATTTATCTTACGGATATAGAGCTTAACTAAAGGTTGACATAAAGATACTAATTTAGAATTGAATTATTATTTACATATGGCAAAATTCACCTTTTCAATGTACAGTTCTATGAATTTTGACACAGATATGTAGTTACCACCACAATCAAGACAAAAGAGTTTCACCACCACCTCCCCTTTCCCTTGTAGTCAACATCCTGGCATTCTGACCTGGCAGGCCTTTCATCAGTGTTTTGTCCCTACAGTTTGCTATTCTAGCATGGTGTGCTGGTGGAAGTAAACACCATGTCACCTTTTGAATCTAGCTCCTTTCCACTGGACACAATGAAGTTGATACTGATCCACATTCTGTGGATTTGCTT